TGCCCTTGTAATTCTGGTGCCCTTGAATCCCTGGCACAGATGCTTCTTTACTGTACAGTATACAATGATATCCGTGCATCTGATTTGGAGCGAATTCTTGCTAGTTCACCTGGTCGATCAGAGGAGGTAATGCTGAACACATTCCTGCTAGGAGAGAAGAAAATCTATACCGGGCAGATGGCCAAATATATCAATAATCTAATACAGCGATGCAGATATACCAGGCAGATGGCCAAATATATCAATATACTAATACAGCGATGCAGATCACAATTTCCGACCAACTTCTTGTTGTGCCCTCATGTGATGTAATCAACAACTTCCCAGGTTTGCCAAAGCCTCGCTGCTGGTATCTAGCTGTTCTTTCAAATGAATTACGTTCATTTTGATTTGTTTCATCAGTGTTTATGCCACTCGTCCTCTTTGTTTCCTTTCTAACTGGGCATACACCTCATCTAGGTGAGGACTGTTGCCTGTTGTGTTATATGTTTCTTTTCAGATGCCAATAAAAGTTCTTGGCTTGACTTGACTTGACTCTTTAAAATCATTGTATTTTGTCATACCCCTTCTTACTTTTATTTCACATGTTATCATTTTTCGCTAAATTCCACATTTCTTTATACCAATTTTCAAGGTTGGCTTGTTGCCATATCTCCAATTGTTTGCAAATATTAATCTTGCTGCTGTGACCATTATTACGATTAACTCTTTCTGTTCTTTTTTAAGATGGTCATTCCTGATTATATGTCTCTGCTTATATCCTGAGCCAATGAGTTCTTTGATTAGCTGGGAACAGGTGGAGAAGGGGCTACAAGGTATAAAACTACTTAGTACACATACAAAAATGTAAGCTTCTCCAGCACCAAAGATTCAGCTCCTACCCAGAAATTCAGAGAAAGCAACACAATACCCTAAGCTTGGAAACTACAATGGTCCTGCTTTTAGCCGAATGAACCAGAAGGGTCACAAATACAACACTGTTTTTTTCAGAAAATGAGTTTCTGCTGACCTCTACATCCAAGGGGCCATGGATGTCTGCCCCCCCACCAAATTATGCCTTCACAGCATCTGTGAAACACCTGAGGTATTGAAGCCGTACAAATTTGACCTCCTCCATTAAAATTGTCCCTGCCTCATCTATCACACAATGTTTACCATGCCTTGGCTGAAGAAGTCAATTCAGTCACCTCAGAATTATATGTGTGTGCTTTCGCCTCTTTCAGAGGTAATGGCCCACCCTGCAGGTCCATCCTACTGATGCCATGAAGATAATTTCCACTAACACCTGCCAAGTTATGGGTGGCAGTGGGAGTAAAGGGCATCCACAAGACACCTGAAAGGAAATTAACTTCTCCTAAGTACGGGGCCTGCCAAGTGGGTGTGTATTGAGGCTTCTCACCAGCCACATACATGGTGAGGAGAAGAAAGGCAACACTGGCAGGCTAAGGAGCCTTTCAAAGTTCAAAGCGAATTGATGCTGGGAGGATGTTGTGACTGATATTGGAGGAGCTTCATTAGCCTCAGAGAAAAACACTGCAGCTCTTACCATCTCAAGCTTAGCTTTTGAAGAATCTGGCACCATTCAGACTGTTTCATTTTAACCTCTGGGCAGCAAAATGAGACGCTTGTTGTTGCAGAAACTACAGAAAACTAGATTTACAACGTAGGCATTCTGAGGTGTTGTTTTTTAAAGGGTAAAGTAATCATGTGTCGTCAAGTCAATTCTGACTTTGAACTTTCCAGGGTTTTCTGGAGTTGCCTTGGAACTGTGCAAAATGCCCGTGGACACATAGGCTGTCTGTCCTTGCAGGAGGCACAGCGACAAATCAAACTCCCAACCTCTGGCTCCGCAGTCAGATATCTAAACTGCTGAACTATCCAGCCTGTCTGGATCCTGTCTTAATAATGCTTAAAGAGGAACAATTCATTACTCTTCTCGAATGAACTGAAGTTAGATATGACCCGTTTCATTAATTGTACTGAGTTTGCTCTAAGTATGACTGTTCTAGGATCCAGTCCATAGTATATATTGTTTATTTATGGTCAAAATTGTGCTGCCTAGTTATGCCTGCAAGAAGGTACCTAAAATTTTAAAAGAGTTGTTGTACAAAATTGTCCTCAAATTTCAAATTTCAGCAATTTTGCTGGGTTTTCCAGACTCTTAAAATGTGTACAATTTTTCACAATGGGCACATTTTATCAGATGCAGTCCTAACCATCCAGAAGAGTGTACATTCCAGAACAGTGAGCTGAGCCTAAATCAGTAGATAGGTTAAGATAAGTAGTACCAACGGAATGAACTTTCCAAGAAGTTACGACCCATTGGCCCAGATTCTAATAGATATGAAAACTGTTCTCACTTAACCAGAATCCATAGATATCTTCTCATGAAAAGCAACCCCTGTGGGATCTATTACAAGCCATCTTGTAGCAATCCCTGTTATGACTTGTTATAGTGAGACAAGTCTTCTAGGTATGTACCGTCCCTTTGCCTTCCCATCCACTGAAGTTGTCATCCTTGCCAAACCCAGGAATAATCAAGGTGTTGAAATTTCTAAAGGCGACCTTATCTGATAGCATCAAAAAGAACTTTCTGAGGTGCCAGACAGAGATGATCAGAGAATGTCAGCTTGTCTCCAGAAATGACCAAAGATTATGAGTTTTTGTGTTCGACCGACAGATGATTACATTGTTCTCCCTGTAGCTAAAAGAAGAGACACACCTCAGTTTATACACCTACAGCTGGAACAGGAAGAGATAATAGCAGTTCCTGATAACACAGGTCCCACTCGACCACTGCCACAAGACCCTGGGATTGTAGAGTTTCAGAGATTGCTGATATCATCAAGTCATCCCTGCAGCATTCATTGAAAAGATGAATTGTAAAAGGTAGCAATGGTGGTGTGGTGGGGGGAGGGAGAGTGTGATATGATCAGAAACATTTTCACTCATATAACAATGAACTAGGTGGATAGAAAGCCGTTGATGAAGCAATTCACAATTTTCAGGAGCAGGCAGAGTTTATGAATTTAATCACACCTGTTGACTGATCGCTGTGACGTAGGGCATGAAATGACAACACAAATCCAAACACATGCACTTTTCACTCGAGAAAAGGTGTTTATCATTGATGACACGACTATCAATACACTGAAGGCATGAGCTCCTCCTTTTATGACCATCCTTGACTGGTCCAAGACACTCTCCTGTTTGACCCACAACTTCCTCTATCAATCCTTGGTGGTAAAAATGAAGGAATAACAAACAGAATCTCTAATAATATTCCTCAACATTCAAATTTGCCAGTAGAAGTGGTTTCCTCATTCAACTTAATTATACATGTGGCCTTGATAATAAATTTGTTTTCTGCCTTCCCTTCAGTTCCAGGTGTTCCTGTGCAACAGAAATATGTTTAATAACACAGTCCTATAAAGAGAAAATGCTTTGAGGCGTTGCCTTCCCTGTATAAGAACTGCTTCAGGCAGCCATTAGAGCTGTGATTACTTTTTAGAATTTTTTTAAATTAAATTACAAATGTGGCTTACTCTCATTACCACAGGAGGGCTCCTTAGCACTGTCGAGGTATTGCTCTTCCAAAGTAAGCTAGATGTCTGCTTTAAATGTTGCTGTTTCTGATGTTTTGAAAAGCGGGGATGTAACAAGTGCTTACCAAATTCCTCATTGAGATACAGAAGGGGGGGTACAAGTATTGACCAATCATGAGGTAGTCTTGTATCCCTGACTTGTTTGCCTGTTTGTACTTTTAACTGTATGTAGTGCCAATGCCAAGCCAGTCACCCCCTCAGCCTCAACCTCTCTAAACACCCGACACTCTGCTAAAGCATTTGTTCAGGCATATGCCCATTTGTGGGTGTCAAATGACTGGCCCACTCCATCGGTTGATGGGACAGGGATTGGAAGTATCATTATTCAGACATGGAATATGCTGGGCAAAGAAAAGAGGATTTTAAAAAGAAAAAATAATGTTACATTGAAGGCACTCAAGTGCGAAAAAATGCTGAACTGTTAGAGCAGTACGACAATGGAACCAATTACCTCAGGAATTGGTGAGCACTCCAACGCTGAAGGCAGTCAACAGAAAATTGGGCAACCGCCTGTCAGATGTGCTTTGAGTTGGATTCCTGCATTGAGCAGGGAGTTGGACTCCATGGCTTTATGGGCCTTTCCAGCTCAATTATTCTATGATTTTAAGAGGAAGAGCTATGATTTGAGAAGTCTTAGAAGTAAGGAAGTTGGTGACAAGGACAGTCCCAATGCGTCCACCTAAAATGATTGGAGAAATTTGCACATTCTTTTGCCCAAATCCTAGCATCTGAAAAGATGAAGAGAATGAAAAAATAACTTTAAACACAATTTGAAGTTTGCTGCTCCTAAGTATGGGTGAAACCTTCCATCTCAATTCTTTACTGTGTTTGTGTGTGCAAAACTAGTACACAGAAGTTCCGAATGCCAACATTTCCTCCTATCTCTCTTGCCTCTACTAATGCTCCACTATATATCTACAGTGTGTCCATTACCTGCCACCAATATTCTTTCTGTCCCTTCAGTCCTTTAAAACCCATCCTTGCTCTTTGTTCACGTCCCTAACAACATCAACAGGTTGCATCCTTGTTACACACACATTCACCAAAGATTCCATTCCATAGAGCTGGTTATGGTATGGCCCTGACCTCCACCTTCTACCTCAAACTTCTAAAATTTACAGACTGGAGTTGGGCACTTTGGAGTTCATACAGGTTCGTACAAAGCAGAAAGTGTGGCACCACAGGTGGTGCCAAGTTCCACCTCCCTCTCCACAGGCCAGGTGGTCTACTTACTGTGTTCTGCACACTGCTGGGGGCTTTCTATGGCAGTGGCGCTCCAATCCAGGCAGCAGCCCAGACAACCTTTCCCAGCCTCCTCAGGCAGCCAACCACTCTGGCAAGGAGGCAGGACAGGAAGTCTCCCTGCACAGACACTGCCAAAGAAGGAACCTAAGAATGTGTGAAGTCCGGTAAGTGGACCAGCTGGTCTGTGGGGAGGGAGATGGAACTCAGCACCATCCATAGTGCTGTGCTTCGTACTTCATACAGAGTGGTACAAAGGACAAATTCATTACCTTCAGCATGCTAGTGTTTGTAGTGTTTGGTTCTCCTTTGTACCAGCTTATATCAGCACCAAGGGGAAATACCTAGCAGCTACTGAATCCTTTTCTCTCTTAGCTTCAAGTGCTGGGTTACTTAGCTGTATCTTTTCCCCCAAATGCTACATTATTATTTTCAGACCGGAGCTAAATAACAAAGAACAACTGATAAGAAAAAGCACTGGAAAATTTAATCAAAATTAACTTCGTACTATATTCTGGGCAAGAGATGCATTTGTGATTTTGAGCTTGTGTGATTGAGTGCATGTGTGCACAGTAGAATTTTTGCAGCTTCTTTATCCAAATACTCACCAGAAATCTTCTGACTGTGTCTGGTGGAAACATGCACTGGACTTCAACAGATCAATAATGTACATAATGCACTACTCTACTTATAAAAACATACATATTTTTATTACAGTCCTTAGACCAATTAAACAAAAACAATTACAGTTTCAACCTTTTCAGCGCAAAGCACAACAATATTACCACTTACTTTAAAATCCATTTTAAATCTTACAGTCTAAATCCATTTAAAATCCACAATTTAAAACCATTTAAAATTTATTTACCCTTTGATTGCTGGAATCTAAGTATCACCATGCATAAAGTACTCTATTGTAGCTTAGTTTTCCTTTCAGCAGCTCATCTCAAACTGCATGAATTTTTTTTCTGAATTCTATCCTAACAATATCTGCAGACTCATGTGCCTGAGCAACATATACATATACAAAGTTACACTGAGTAAAGTTACAGATTCTCAACTACCCTTACGGTCACAATTCCAGTGAAGAACACTTGTTCTAGCAAAGAATTTGGGGCAGTGGGTCCAGCAAAACTGTTCCACCACTGAATATTTTAACCCAAGTAACAGGGCAGAGGAAGCTTTGGCCTATATTTTAATCTGAGCTGGAATCAAGTGTTGGTGGTCTGCTCCCTTCCCAAGATCCATTCCTGCCAATTCTTTCTTGCCCCATTCACTTTTCCAAAGGAGAATTCCAGTGGTACATTGGAATATGTCACCATTAGAGGTGGGCCTCCTCAGTTGATCAACCACTCATCAGGCCCAGCATGCTAGCTTCCTGCATTTCTTCAACTGATCTTCCACCCCCAGCAACAGCTCAGACTTCTCTGCCCTGCCCATCTTGGCTGATCTCCCACTCAGACAAACGGGCAGGTCATAGAAGTCTGTGCCCTTGCTTGTGACTGGGAGATTAGCCAAGCAGGTGAAAAAAGCAGGCAAGCTGGGCCTGGTGAGTGGCTGATTGGCTGAGGAGGCAGGGAAGGGGAGCAACAGCACCTGTGCTGCTACCTTTACAAACTGGGATAAAGTGGGGATGAACCAGTTCATGCCCATCACTAGTCAGCATTTATTTATTGCCTATGATTGGAAGGTAAACTGGCTGCCAAAGATCTCTCCCCATGCATGTTCTCCTACATGAAGGAAAGTGTGAGGCTAGTCAAGTTTCCAGATCCAGGCACCACTTGGAATTATGATCCTTTGCAGCTCCCAGTTAAGCCTAGGAACATGCTTGTAGCGAACAGCCCTGTCCTTACCTGTCCGTCACCACAGAACATTGAAGAAGGAGCCAATGAGTGGGTGGAAGGCGGAGCCAAGGGGGGAGGGAGCTGGATATAAAGACTGGTGTATGGAGTCTGAGGGAGAGAATCTGAGAGAAAGAGACTGTGTGTATCTTGATAGTGACAGAGAGTGAGTTAGAGATCTGTAAGAACGTAGATTAGAACAGAGGGTTATTGGTGTTGTATCTGATTATATTCAAATATAAGTGATTGGCAGCCTGTGATTGATCCAATGAATATTCATCATCTAATAACTTCCCTGATCAAATAAAAGACTTAAGTTTTCAACAGCACACTTGTCTCCATACATAATTGATATTAAAGCATTAATATCTGGTGGCAGCTAAGAAGGAAGAAGAATGAGAACCTCGTGAAGGCCTGGGAGGATAGGGTCTTCAGAGGGGATCATGACAAAGCTTCTCAAATTTGCAACACCCCTATCTGCTGTAGGAATGTACCTGCACACTTGGGGCTATGTACAGCTTGGTTTTCACCTTCCTCTTCTCCCAGGTAAGGATGGTGGGCAGTCAACAAAGTCATTTAGCTATTTAGTTCTGCACAGATCAGTGTTTCTTCTGGAATTAAGCATCACTATATATCCAAGACATTTCACAATATTTGTTGGGCAAGAAGAATCACATACATAGAAATCTCACTGTGAGGACAACAGATAATTTTTTTCTCCCTCAGTATCTCACCAAGAGCTAGAAGCTTCTAAAGTCACATCTCCAGACAGAAGGAATATTAACCTTATTTAGGGGCTATAGAATCATAGAATAATTGAGATAAGCCCCATATAAGGGGCTTATATGGTTATCGAGTCTAACTCCCTGATGAATGCAAGAATCCAGATCAAAGCAGATCAACAAATGATTGTCATGTACTAAGCCTTTCCCCTCTCAATCTTAGCTTTCTGAATATGGAAAGTGACATGTCTGAAAAAGAAAGACTGCTGCTTGCATGTGGAAACATCCATGGCAGGAAAAATTCTGATTTTTATAGGGTTCTTCCTTATGTGTGCAGCCTAGCTGTAAGCAGAACCTATCACTCCCTGTCTCTAAACATGTTGCTGAAAACTAGGTAAATAATGACCGAATAGGGTCATTATCACTTGAGGTCATTACAGTTGATTCTTGTTGGCTTTTTCATCTGAAATGAAAAGGGCACTGGAGCTAGGAAGGAACAACGTTACCTTCCCACCATAGTGGTACCTATTTATCTACTCGCATTTACATGCTTTCGAACTGCTAGGTTGGTAGGAACTGGGACAAGTGACGGGAGCTCACTCTGTTGCGTGAATTCGATCTTACAACTGCTTGGTCTTGGTCTTCTGACCTTGCAGCACAGAGGCTTCTGCAGTTCAACCCGCAGTGCCACCATGTCCTGATAAAGAGAGAATATGTACCCTATTTTGGTCTGGAGAACCCTCTTGCTATTTTTCTGATTTTCATGTTTTGCTGTCTGTCAGTATATGGTAAGGGATCTCTTGTTTTCTTAGTGAAAAACATCTATTCAGATGAGACAAACAAGTTCCTTCAGGAAACCCAAGGGGAATTCCCAATTTTGATTTAATAAACACCTTCTTATTGCACTGCCAAAAGCACTATAATTAGTTCTGTTGCTGCCCCAAATCCCTGTGGAATTTCAATAGTTGTGAAGAACATATTCATTGCTCATGAATATGAATGTTTCTATAAATTTCCCAGTACTATTTGGAGGTAGAGAAAGAGAGGGAATGATACCCAGTAGAGAGCCACTAATGTACACATGTTCAGATCTCTAAGGCAAAATGAACTTTCCTGTCAGGTTGATTAGTCAAAGAGACTTGAATTGTATAGTAGAATAGATTACAGTAACATAGGGATATAAAGATAGAAAAGCTTGACTTTCATATATGATTATAATGTTTCTTCACTCACTACTTGTTCTCTTTCCTAACATACTTGATTTCGCTGAGCCAGCTGGATGCAAGGTTCATCATCCACCTCCTCCGCCTCACCAGTATCATCAGCCTGGAGACATCATTGTTGGCGCCATTGCTTCCCATGGTTCTTTTCTATCCAGTTCAGTTACACTGACTGAAGGGCCACCACCGCCACTGCTTGAAGACCTTATGTAAGTACTCATTTCTTTCCCCTTAAGGTTTGTTTGTATGTGTTTTGCTCTTTGAATAACAGTTCTAGAACCATAGCCTCAAACAGTGACTAAATGACTTAAAATAGATTAACGGCTCAAAGAAAGGACCTTGCCTTTTCTGATTTGCAGTAGGAGAGTTGTTAGATATATTGAAGTTATTGAGGTTATTTTAATTATTTTTTTAACAATCTGTTCTTCATTTTCTTAGGTTCTGTTACTCCCCTCCCCTTCCAATTTCATTTCACATATCACATTCTTTAATTATTGTACTCTCCATTTATTTCATCTTCCTTCATACTCTTGTAACTTACTCAAAAGGTTTTCCGTACTTAACACATAGCATCAAATTAAAAGTTATAGGTTTTTATTGACTTGTATATTAAGCAACTGGAGTTAGTTTATAATTATATGAGGGGGATGTGTGCCAGGAGCAGCAGTTATAACATTTGAGGAATGAGAAATAATGTTTATTGATGGAAACTCAAGTTAATTGGTCTGGTTCCTGGCTGAAAATGTTGGTGTACAAGGGCGTGAGAGAGAGAGTGAGAGAGTTACTCGGTAAAAGTTCATGAAATCTGTCAGTCAAAATTGTGAGTCAGAGTGGTTGTGAACAAAAGTGTGGTCTTTTGTCAAAGCAAGCATTTATGTTTGTAAATATAAAGTGAGAATGTTTTAAATTATGAAGAAAAAAGTAAACTCTTATGATTATATATTTGAAGAACTGAAAGCTTGATACATTGTTCATATGTTTTATTTCTACCTGATAATGGAACCCTTTAAATATTTTGTGTTTTAAAAAATTAAACTCTTTTGGATTTATAAATACTGTATTAATGCTTTTGAAAAACTTGAGACTATATCTTCCTTTGACAAAAGAAAGTGGCTTTTTTTCTAGTGCTTTATAAGATGACTTTGGATTCATCCATATTCTGAATTTCTTGGATGGTTTTCTGATCTCCATCCTGCTGCTTACTCAGTCTTTGTTTTTCTCCACAAGATGTACAGCTACTTGCCTTTTTAAGCCTTGAAGCTTCAGGTATTATTTTCATGGAGCTTCTCAGTTGAATCAACCACCATTTCATAAACACTAGCTTTCCATCTCTGTCAGACACAGCCTGAATTCCTTGTGAATCCTTCTTGATTCCATTTCCCTCTTAATCTAAATTATCAATTAGTCCAGTGTCCACATTTAGTCTGTTCTGGTACTTACTTTACCTTTACCAGTTTCACAGGTTGGGTTCCTAGAGGCCCAACACTAGTTGCCAGCAGCTATAAACACTAGCTTTCCATCTCTGTCAGACACAGCCTTGAATTCCTTGTGAACACAACACTAGTTGCCAGCAGCTATAAACTCAATTTGTAGTTTTTGTCTTTGTGGTAACAATGTTGAGCTTTCATTTTTCCATTGGCTTTCATATAATGTGATTGTACAGACTTAAAAGCTGATTAGACCTCTTCCAGCTTGATATAAGCAATCATTAAGTTAATGTGGATAATGTTTACATTTTAGTGGCACCAACATCTAATTGAAATGGTGTACTTTTATTTCCTAGGAACACTGAGGCATACAGTCATTTCTGATGCCTTACTGTCTTTCCCTGTAATGTATTTATGATGTCAGCTGTTACCTACATTAATTGCCATGTTCCATATTTAGGGTATGTACTCTGGTTTTAGGTTTTTTCCTTCTTTTTACGGACACTTGGACACAAAGTATTTAGATTTGCCACACTGGATGCATTTATTCCCATTGTTGTTGTTGTTTAGTCGTTAAGTCGTGTCCGACTCTTTGTGACCTCATGGACCAGAGCACGTCAGGCCCTCCTGTCTTCCACTATCTCCCAGAGTTTGGTCAAATTCATGTTGGTAGCTTTATTCCCATACAATGACCATATTTTATTCTGCCTTGCATGTCCTCCTCCTCATAGTATTTGAATTGCTGTATGGTGTTTATGGTTGTCCTTGTGTCCTTGTGTTCCTCTTTGTCTTCTGTGCTGCAGGGCTGGGTCGAACTTTCTCTTTCCAGAGCTCAAATCCTATCTTTGCACAACTCAGCTGTCCTGAAAAATCTCTCTTACCTGACTCCACACACTACCCAATCTTTTATTGATGATTCGCTGATACCTTCAAAATTGCAGGAGTTCGTTAGTATCTTTGCATTCATGCAAGATTCCTTAAGCCTTTCTCCTATTGCCTGGTTCCAGGTGAAAAACTTAGATCTTTCTATTCCCTTTCCCCCCCTGGGTTTACAATGGATAATGGTTGAAATAATCTATGAATGTAACAAGTATACTCTGTGCTTGAATATTAGCATACAGTGCTTCACATATTTCTGTCCCCTTTTCTTCAATCAAGTATAAAGAACATTTCAATTTCCACAGCTTCCTCTTTATCTGCCTTGGCAATATTCACATAGAAATAGAACTCCTCTTTTGAAGTTGTCTGGGCTTTAAAGCTAGGCTCTGTGTTTGCATATGTAATAGAATTTGTGGTTTTAGGCCATAGACTTATAACTTTCTCCCTTTTTCTCCCTTGAATTCCTTTTCCTTTGGCCCTTTACAGATTCTTGAATTTAATTATCTCTGCCACCAAGTTTGAAGATTCTGGCAGACCACTTACAAAAATCACAAGACTTCTGCTTTCAGACAAATTTTAAATTGATTTAACTAAAAATCATTAACAGAACTTTCTCTTACAGTGCCCTCTATCACATAAACTTGAAGGAGTGTTTCTGTCCAGTCCCTGTTCTTCTGCAAAGCATGCAGTTCATTCAGGAACTATCTAGTGTCTTTGTTTATATATTGCTTCCGCAAGGTAAACTTGATGTTATAGCCACATCATCAGCATGGTGGCTTAAGATGGAGCAGTGATAGTGTATCTATGACACACAATGTATATAATGACAAACATAATAATGTTATTAATGCCACAGAATTCCCTAGCTATGATGAAACAATATGCAGTACTTTTCTAAGAGAATACAATACAATTTTCATTGTAGCATACTGCCTAAAAACTATCAGCATATTCTGGCCTTGGCATTTGCCATAAAGGAGATCAATGAAAATCCTCGGATTTTACCTAATCTCACCCTGGGCTTCCACATATATGACAGCTATGATGATGCAAGGAGGACCTATCAAGCCATTCTGGTGCTTCTTTCAGGATTGAAGGGATTGGTCCCCAACTATAATTGTGACACACAAAATAATCTCAAAGCAGTCATTGGAGGGCTTGAATCCCATATTTCCATGTATCTGGCAACTGTCTTCGATATCTATAAAATTCCACAGGTAAGACATTTCTTTGACTGTAGATTATGGAAAATGTCCAATCTTTCTTGGTCCTTCAGGGCTGGAGACAGTTCAACACTTCAAGAAACATCCAGTTGATGAGATATTGTGCTTCTGTACCCACAATTCAAAAAGCCAGGAAGGGGCCCAATATTGCTGCACAATTTTGTGCCCACACTGCCAGCAGAAAAAAAAACATGCCAGGTTTTACATAGTAAAGGGCAGCTTGAATGTTGACAACACCAAAGGTAGCAGTCAAGATGGTCTATAGGATACCCTCTTGTGCTCACTATCATTCACAATGAGACACCAAGCAGGGGAAATTCCCAAAATTTGACTCCTTTTTCCATCATTTAACTACTTCTCACCCAAACACAAAGCATTTGCCAGGGCTATACCTGATTGACTCGAAGTGAAATGGTTGAAATTTGTTGGGTAAATAATTCAAACTGAATTAAAATGCATAGCATTTGTACACTCTGAGTAAGAGTTCTGGTGATTCAGCTTGGCCTTTGCTGGTGAGGTGCACTACAATTCGATAATTCTAGGGAAGCAGCAAATCAAATTGTCATGTACAGTGTGTCTTAAAAGGTTAATCTCCAAGAAAGAAGGTCCCCATGATGGGTCAGCCAGATGACTGGGAAAGAGAGAACCTGGTTGAAAAAAGGGATGAGAGGGGCCTCTTGGGGAGCATGAACAATTTCAGGTATCAAAGCCCACATTCTATTCTTTCAGATCAATCCCTTCTCTCAAGAACACTAATATAATATAACCCTAGAACTGCAGAGGTGGAAGGGACCCTATGGATCATTGAGACCAGCTCCTGTCCAGGAGGCACAGTGGGGAATCAAACTCCAAGGCTCTGGCTTTGCAGTCAGATGCCTAAACCACTGAGCTATCCAGCACTTCAATAGTAATTATACCCATTTACCTTATAGGATCACAGTATTTATTTTTTGTTATAGTGTGGAAGAAATGCCACAAAAACTTTGAAGTGCAATGTACTCGCCATTATTATTATTATTAATACCTCTTTCATTCCCACACTTCTTTTAACTTTTTCTTAGCTCATATATGGCCTTGCACCAGTAATGAATGATAAAACTCCTGGTATTTCCTTCTACCAGATGGCACCTCCAGAAGACCTTCAGTACAAAGGGATACTCTCCTTGCTTCTCCATTTTAGGTGGAGGTGGATTGGGTTTCTTGTTATGGACAATGACAATGGAGAGCAAATTCTGCAACATGTAATTCCGCAGTTTTCCAAGCATGGTGTGTGCTTTGACTACATAGAAAGATTACCCAAATTTAATTTTGACGATAATATTTTTGAAATGGTAGAAAAGGGGATAAAATTAAAAAATGAAGCAATAGGTAGCAAAACCAATGTAACAGTGGTGTTTGGAGAATCTTATTCTATGGTCCTTTTGAGAATGTTGGAGTACACATCACAAACTGAACAGGAGACAAATACACCAAAAGGGAAAGTATGGATAATGACATCCCAGGTGGAGCTCTCTTCATTGGCTTTTCAAAGGACATGGGGATCTGATATAATCCATGGTGCTTTGTCCTTCACAATTCACTCCAGTGATCTGCCATCCTTTAGATCATTTGTTGACCTCAGAAACCCCTTCAACACAAAAGAAGATGGTTTTCTCAAGGATTTCTGGCAGCAGGCCTTTGACTGCATTTTCCTCAATACAGTTGGAGCCCCAGTTGATGAAGGCATTTGCACTGGGAAGGAGAAGCTAGACCATCTTCCTGGGCCTATTTTTGAAGTGAGCATGACTAGCCGCAGCTACACTGTCTACAATGCTGTCTATGCTGTGGCCCATGCTGTACAGAATATGTTCTCATCTGGACTCAGACGCAGAGCAATGAGCAAAACAAACAGTAAGAAGGCTCAGAATTACCAGGTGTGGCAGGTAAAAGGTTTAATATGATAGTATATACAGTGGGGTCTTGACCTGAGAACTTAATCCGTATTGGAAGGCGGTTCTCAAGTCAAAAAGTTCTCAGGTCAAATCTGCATTTCCCATAGGAATGCATTGAAAACCATTTGATCCGTATCTGCTCTTTTCCGTCCATAGAAACTAATGGGAAGCTGCTATTCTGCCGTCCAACACTAGAGGGGGATATTTTGTTTCTTTTTTTCTTAGGTCAAGAAAGGTTCAGGGAAGGCAGGGAAGATACAGTCCAGGCAGTACCAGGCAGTCGGAAGACTCCCAATCCACTTTCTAAACGCTGGGAAGAGTGAGGAAGCAGACAGGCACCCTTTTCACTGGCCAACAGTTAACTGAAAGTTCAAATTTTGCACTTTCCCTGCCTCCCACGTGGGTTTTTTCAGTTCTTAACTCATATCTAAGTATGTAAGTCAAGTCAATATTTTCCTATGAGAGTGGTTCTTAAGGCAAAATGTTCTTAACTCAAGCCGTTCTTAAGTCAAGACCCCACTGTAATATCTTGGGTACTGTTAGAAGGAACACCATATGGTGTGAAATAGTCTATTCAAGCTCTTCTTGTACTCGCATATTATTCCCATCCTCCTGTTTTAGACCATATTTAGACCACATCCACTGGACTAAATGTCAAGGGGAACCTTTACCTTTACCTAAGGTTGAAATTATTGCAGGGAATGCCATCATGAAAGGCTCATAGGAACAATGCAAAAGCCTAAGAGACAACAATACAAGGGACATCACTCTAATACATTAGTGCCTCAACTTACGAACGTCCCGACTTATGACCATTTCGAGTTACAACCAGCTCCGGCTGCAAAATTTTGCTTTGACTTGCAGTTGGAGCTTCTAGTTATGAACAGAAAAAGGCAGGGGGGAAAGGTGGCTTCTATGGCTGGGTGGTAATCAGGCCAGCCACCTGTGCCCGTGGGCTTCATATTCATATATGAATACAAAACTCCCATGTCTAGTTTCAGCCTTTAGGCAAATTGCACCTTCAGTAATTTTCTTCACTGCAAATTAGAGTTAGTTTACAAAACTTCATTTGTTTTCTCAAGACATGTGTAAATTCATATATGTGCTTGGAGAACATATACAAAGGCTGACAAATGAGTCTTGCATCCTTTTGTATTCAACAAAATAGAAACTGCACCATATGGTAAAGCAGCCTTTGCAAATCTGAGTTTAAAATAACGAACTGCAGGCTTTCATGACTTCTTCGTTTTCCTTTTTCCAACCAGCTCCATCAGTTTTTGCAAGGCATTGTTTTTAATAACAGTGCAGGGGAAGAAGTTTCTTTGGACCTTAAGGGGGAGTTGGTAGCTGGATTTGATGTGATCAACTGGATTCTTGCAAAAAATCAATCTGTTCATCGTAAGAAGGTTGGGAAGGTAGATTGCCATGCTCCTTCAGATCAAGCATTTACCATCAATGAGAATGCCATAGCATGGAACAGCTGGTTTAACCAGGTAGGATCCCATTACTGTTACTCTAGGAGAATGTGTGATCTAATCCTCTTCACATGAACTTAAAAGAAATCCATTTCTTCTGCTTAGTTTTTATTCCTTTCTTAAGTGTACACAGTTTCATTTTCGTTGATTCTTATCAAATGTCAGCATTACTTGAGCATCTTATGGAAAGTTCCAATATCTCAAGGACCTGTAACCTGAACATTACTATTCTGCTCTTTAATCATTTAGACACAACCATTTTCTCTATGTACTGACCCCTGCCATCCTGGTTCCAGCAAGAGAATAAAGGAAGGGGAGCCATTTTGCTGTTACGATTGCATCTCATGTCCAGGAGGGAAGATTTCAGACCAGGAAGGTAAAAAAATTAAAAAAAATAATAAAAGCCCCAAAATGTTCCAGATGTAGTATCAATAGTATTATTCACATTAAATCATTTAACTGTATCTGCAGGTCAGCCAGTAAAGAAACACTTTTGTAAAGAAATCCCCATGGAACAGCCGCTGGTGACTTGTAAGCAACTTCCTGATCCTCAGTGGGAGGGTCCAGTGCCTTTACTAATGGGGGGGGCAGCTATGCTGCTGTGCTTACTCCCACAGGTCCTTTTTGGATCCCAGGCCATATCATGGGAAGAATGAGCTGGCATCGCAACCTGCAGAACCCAATTCCGGAATGCAACCCAGCAATGGTCCTGGAGCAGGACCAGATGACTGTGCATTGCTGGAAGTGCCTTAGTCCGACCTGAAGGCACTCAGCCCAAGGCTACTTGGGGGGATGATAAATACGCTGAGTGCTGATGCAAAAAGAACTCTAAATCAGCAGCAGATCCCGGAAACTCCTGAAACTTTTCTAGCAGCCATTATCTCGCAGCTGGATGCCAATTCCATGACGCTGTTGTGTTCTCATTCATGGAATTATGCTCCTCAAACTCCTTATAAGTTGCAGAGGCTTTATTCAATGTATACCAATCTTCTTTTCCATGATAACTACCTGTCTCAAAGCTTCGCCGGCAGGCCTTCACCAAAAAGATTTATATGTAGTTCGCAAATATATGAAAGAATATGTGTGTTTGCGTAACAAACAAAAAAAGGGGGGAAATGTGGGAAATAAAGGCTGTAGCTGCATTCTGTTCCAGTGACATGCATACACTCCTGGCAGGAAGTGGCAGGTGCCAGCAGGCAGGGTAACCCCTTTTCCTGCCCTTTCGCTTAGAGGTAGAGCATAAGATCAAAGGGTTATTTCAGCCAATCCTAGTTATGATTAGGTAACTAGTATCCTATCTGAATTCTAACAACAGACTATGCAAATCATGCTAAGTTAGCTCTCAGGGCGTTGCCTGTAAGCTCCGCTGGCTCGGACATCCACTATCAACTCCTTTGTTCTCTCTCTAAGGCAATTAGCCTTCCTTTGTTCCGTGATCACCCACATATGATTATTTCAAAGGTATAATGAGAGAGATCTTCACAAATGAACAATTTGGTAAGGAGACAATGCAAGGAAGATGCTGAACAGAATACATCATGCTGGGTTGTGCTTGTCTATATTCTGTCTATTAAAGAGCTGTTTTCTGCATGAAAATAGCAGTTATAGCATTTGGGTCATTTTGGTGATGAGATGTTTTCTGAGATGAGCATGTCTTTTCTTTTACAGACATGAATGACTGTCAGCCATGTGCGGAAGGAAGTTATCCAAGCAAGGAGCACAACTCATGTCTTCCAAAACATGTTAGCTTCTTGTCCTATGAAGACCCTTTTGGGATGAGTCTAGCAACATGTTCTCTTTCCTTCTCTTTCATCACAGTTCTGGTGTTAGCAATATATATAAAGCACCACAACACTCCCATTGTGAAAGCCAACAATCGGGACCTCACTTACATTCTCCTCGTCACCCTCTTGTGCTGCTTTCTTTCTGCTTTGCTCTTCATTGGCCGTCCTCATGAAGGCACGTGCCTCCTGCGTCAAATTGTCTTTGGTATTATCTTCTCGGTGGCTGTTTCCTGTGTGCTGGCAAAAACCCTCATAGTGCTGCTGGCTTTCATGGCTACCAAACCAGGATCCATGATGCAGAAATGGGTGGGGACAAGACTTGCCAATTCCATTCTTCTTTTTTGTTCCCTTATCCAAGTAGCCATCTGTACCATGTGGCTAGCAATTAATCCTCCATATCCAGATGTTGACATGTACTCGGCGACTGAAGAAATTATCTTGACCTGTAATGAAGGGTCTGTGACCATGTTTTACTGTGTCCTTGGCTACATGGGTTTCCTAGCCACTGCCAGCTTTATTGTAGCTTTCGCAGCCAGAAAATTACCAGACTGTTTCAATGAGGCCAAATTTATCACTTTCAGCATGCTGGTTTTCTGTAGTGTTTGGTTAGCCTTTATTCCAACCTACCTCAGCACCAAAGGAAAATATATGGTAGCTGTGGAAGTCTTGTCCATCTTAGCCACCAGTGCAGGCTTGCTGGTCTGCATCTTTTCCCCAAAATGTTACATTATTCTTCTAAGGCCAGAATTGAATAATTGGGAGCATCTAATAAGAAGAAAGACTTGAGAAAATGTGGGCTTTTGATTTAACTTTGCTTGTCCCTTAGCCAAGTCTGGCTAAAAACCTTCAGAGAACTCTGAAATCCTCTAGATGGCTGGATAATGGACTGAAAGGCTTTTTTCTTCCTTATCTACTGTTATAGATTAGGGCTTGGGCTTTATATTCTTTCCTATGGATTCTGTCTGTTTGAGTTTTGCCCTTACAGGTCTGCCACCCTATCTGTCAGATGTACACCTCTATAACACTAGCCTCTTTCAACAGCTCTTATTGAAATCTATAGTATGTTTTTGATTTTTTTCTACAAAGGAAAAGGTTGCAAGCAAAGCTATGTCATAGCTCTTCTGCATAACTACCATACATGTTCCACCAAATCAAAGGCAGTCCTCCTTTCTATAGAATGGTGCCTCGGTAGCTGTAGGCACTCCACTCTGTTTTTAACATCACACAGTCAACCCAACAGGACACATTGTAGTCACATGTCTTTTGTGCAAATTCCAATAACATTTTTTAACTCTTCAATGGCCATTGTGCATATAGATAGACATGCATGCAAAAAGCCATTAACACTAGAATCAAAACACTCCACTGGCATTATCAGATACTATCACATTGATTTCTAGCTTTTATGTGATATATGACCAACCTGACAAAGTTTCTGAGTGTTTGAACACATAGTGGATCAAGAGTGAGTATTTTAAAAACAGAACAGATTATGAATAAATTCTTCTTTGGTGTATGTAAGTAAACGTGTGTGTGCCAGCCGTTGAAATAATATTCATTTAGTTATGGTAAAAGTTTAAGAATGTTTACTGTATAATGTGGTAAAATAAACTAACAGTACTTGACCCTTTTACTTGATATAGATTTGTGCTTGACAGATATAACAGCTTCATAACAACTTCCTTAATGATATACAGAAAGCATATGTGAAAAACCGTGCTTCTCAAAAGAAAAAAAAACTCATGCTAACAGACAAACAGAACAAGCAGAATAAGACTCAGGCTAACCGTCACTTCTTCTATCTGTCCAGCAGTTAACCCTGTTAAACACCCATGGGCTAGCACAAACAGAATCTGGTTGGTTACAATATTTTATTATGTAAATATCACATC